GTTGACAATATAGACTTTCACAGGCAATTTGTGAAATCATTCAAGAAATATTAAAACTTAAGTCATTATTTTGAAATGTATTTCATCATTCTTATTTAATGGAGTTTTTAGGTGTTTTTTTTATTGTGATTATGGACATTGTTATTTCAAAGTGATATTTTTCGAAAGTCTGTTTTTATTTTATGGCCCGTTACTACGGTAGCCTAGATGGGACATTATGTTCACGCTGCTGTCTATGACTCTGTAATAGACGTGTTCTTGAACACAGTAAGTCTGGAACAATTCAAAGCAGAAACTGTACATATAGAGTAGATGGTCTGGTAGGAATTAGCCTAAATCTGCATATTAATGAGGGGACTAATTTCACAAAACCTCCAAGTTAACCTAACACATTCAAATGATTACCAAATAGATACCATTATGCCAAAAAGTAGGTGTGTTGGTAGGAAAATAATACAGATAGAATGCGGCAAACTGCAGTACAACTGAGTTAGCAGTAGGAATTCTATTGACACCGATCAGACATTGTGACCACTGACAGGTGAAGTGAATCACGCTGATGAGCTCGTTACATCCACCTGTCAGTGGGCGGAGCTTATCAGTATATATGGCAGCAAGACAACAGACTGTACAGAACGACGGAGGACGAAGTGGGGACGGACGTCCGCGGCTCACTGGCCATGAGGTTAATCTGTTGTAGAGCTTTTAGATTTTAATGTGCAGCCTTCTGTGTGTATGTAGATGCTTCGCTGTTACTCTGAGGTAAAGTAGTTGAATCTGTCTAATTTCGAGTTCATAGGCCACTTTTATCGAGCGTTAGCGAGAATTTAATGTTGGCGTGTAACGTTAGCAAAGCTCTGCTAGCAAGAAGTTTTTGGAGCTGAAGACAAACCGGGCGTGTGTCCTCTAATTAGCTCCGTGTGTGGTTAGCCTTCAGGTACGCTAGGGTTTAGCATTAGCATTTTCATTTTAACGAGATTAACTGTTAAAACTTGCTTTTGCCACGACTTGGCGGTAACTAGTCCCCTGTCCCCTGTTAGCTCTCTAGTCTGACTGCCAGCGTCATGGGAACGGTGTTGTATATGGAACATATCTGGACTAGATTAGCGTTAGCGGCCTCTTGTTTTAAACACCCAACCAGTTCACTGTCTAGAGGACACTGGTCTTTGACATAGTTTCCATGTTGTAGTGGACAAACCTTTTTAGTTAAGTGAGTTTTTCTGCGTCATCTGTGTGAGATGGAGCCTCCGTTTAGATTGAAGTCCAGACAAACATCAGCTGCCAGTCATTTAATGAACGACCTGAAAAGACTTGTTTTGTTTAAATTAAGACCAGATTCAAAATATCAGCAGGTTTTATTGACAGCGGACGTAATGCCAGGATTTATCAGTAAGTGACGTTAAAGAATGGTGTCCTGTTAACAATGGAGAGACTTTAATGTCTAAAGCTCCTTGAGTGTCCAGAAATGAAGACTAGCTGGAGGTGACTTGTATAAAGTTGTATGTAGTGGAGTCTTGTAATGGTTTTAGTTTTTATTTTGAGGTTAACAACCGAGGGAGACAACATGTTAAGTTAATTCACTGCTCAGCGCCTATAAGGGTTGTAGAAAATACTAAACAGACAGATGTGCTCTTTAAATTAGGCTGTTTCTTTGTATATTTTTATTACATCTATATTTGACATGCTTGTCTTTTTCTACTCCTGTTGTTCAAAACGGCAGTGGCCGGAGGATCCTGTCTGTTGGCTACACAAACAAGATGCCCCACATCGACAATGGGGAAACGCATGCTTCACATTTTCCCTCTTCAAGAACAAAATGACACTACACCTCATGTCTGAGCTGTGGATGGGTAAGTTCACCAGAACAATAAAAACAATGGTGTAATTTCATACATGGCTTTGTACCAAATCTTGTCAATCTTCAGAGATGTTCTAGGCAGGTGGCTTATTGTTGTATGAAGGATGTCTTTGTTCTTCATGAATGAAGGTAGAGAAAGTTGGGTGACACTAATCTCACATGAGGTGGATTCACTAGTTTGTGGTGCTTTTAATGACCATTACAGGCTTTCTCATCATGTTTGTGTTTGACTAAAAGTAAAACCTACAGAGCTAATGTATTCCTGTAGCATTGTATTGACTGTAACGGTACTTTGTTACCCATGTTACTTTTATTTAGGCATTATGTACAACAGTAGGACTAACCATACTGTTTGCACTTTCATTTCCCTACTATTGTGTCATGAAAGGCAAGTAACTATAAAACAATCTCTTTGAATAGTGCACCTGAGTAAGTCAACTCAGAAGTTGGGAGGCACACAGCCCAGTGAACAGGACCTGAAGCTTTGTGGGCTCACACTATAAGCCTCCAGACAATTCAG